GCATAAGGGATGTTTCAAAGAGGGGCAGCTAAGTGGCACAATGAGATTGCTGGGCCCAGAGTCAGGAAGACTCATCTTTGTGAGTTCAAAGCTGGCCTCAAACACTTCCTAGCTGTGTGACCCTGGGCAAGTTACTTAAACCTGTTTGCCATAGTTTCCTCCTCTGTCAAATGAGCTGGAGAAGGAAATGGCAAGCCACTCCAGTATCTCTGCCAAGAAAACCCCAAATGAAGTAACAAAGAGTTAGGTATGATTTAAGCAACTGAACAACAACATAATTCAAATAAGAAGAAATGGTGGAGGCAGAAAGAAGGGGATAAAGAGGAGACAAGAAGAAAAGACCAACTTGGATGAGGAGAAATGGAGTTTTTAAAGAATAAGACACCAAATGTAACATAAATCCAAATAAAATATGTGAAAGAAGAGGAAGGAACCTTAGGGCATGTTACTGTAAAGGGCCACACACTTTCCTAAGGGTCAGTTTTCAAAAGTGAACATAGAATGAGCTGTGAAAAATGCCCTCCGAAGCATTCCTAGACAGCAGAGACTTCACAGTCATATCATATCATATTCCTTGCACCTTTTGTTATCACACCAGCCCTGGCCAGTCCTTGGATGTTTTCCTTTTACTGACAATTAGAAGTATTGACTTCTGATGGACTCTGACAGTTAGAAGTATTGTGGCACATTGGAAAGAGCTCTGGATTTGGAGTCCAAGGAGGTGGGCTCAAATTCCAGCTCTGATACTTCCGACCTTTGTGACTTCAGGCAAGTCTTTATTTTAAGTTTGACTAGGTAGTCTTTCAGCTCTAAATCTATTCTCCTAGGACTGTGTACTGTATCAGTCCTTTCTGGGTACACTCATTGTCTGAATCATCTGTTCTAGAGCTAAGTCCAATGGCATAGGGTCAGAAGAAAGCACCTTAGATTACAATGCACATAAATTGGAAAAACAGGAAAGAAATTCCCATAATTTTAGGAGTACAAGAATATCTCATTTTATTGTGCTTCACTTTATCACACTGCACAGATATCGCTTTTTGAAGGTTCACGTCAACCCTACATTGAGCAAGTCAATCAGTGCCATTTTTCTAAAAGTATATGCTCACATTGTGTCTCTGTGTCACATTTTGGTAATTTTTACAATATTTCAAACTTTATTACTATTATTATATCTGTTACAGTGATCTATGATCAGTGATCATTGATTTACTATTGTATTTATTTTGGGATGCCATGAACTGCACCCATATAAGACAGTGAACTTAATCAATAAATGTTGTGTGTTCTGACTGCCCCACCGACCAGCTGTTCCCTCATCTCTCTCCCTTTTTCCTTGGGCCTCCCTGTTCCCTAAGATACAACAATATTGAATAATATTATAGAAAAGTAGTTGATAAAGCAGTGGCAGGGTTTGAGAGGATTGACTTTTGAAAGAAGTTCTACTGTGGACAAAATGCTATGAAACAGCATCACATGCAACAGAGAAATCTTTTGTGAAAAGAAGAGTCAAAGGATGTGGCAAACTTCATTGCTGTCTTATTTTAAGAAATTGCCACAGCCACCCTAGCCTTCAACAACCACCACATTGATCAGACAGCAGGCATCAACACTGAGGCAAGACCTTCCACCAGCAAAAAGATTGGAGCTTCCTGTATGACCCTGGGCAAGTCACTTAACCCTTATTGCCTCACCAAAAAGAAAAAAAAAGTTAATAAAAAAGATTAGAGCCTCTTGAAGGTACAGTTAGCATTCTTTTTAGCAATAAAATATTTTTATATTAAGGTATGTGCATTTTTTTAGAAATGATACCATTGCACACTTTATAGACCATAGTATAGTGGGCACATAATTTGTATATGCACTGAGAAACCAAAAAATCCACGACTCATTTTTATTGCAATTTTTGCTTTATTGTGATGGTCTGCAACCGAACCCACACTATCTCTGAGGAATGCATATAATGAGAATTGCCCAGATCCATGAGGACTGAATCTTATGTCTGCCACAAGTACAGCAATCATATGACAATAACTCTAGCATGCCAGATCAAGGAGCATAAAGGAGATGACTTTTTTTCCCCCTGGCTCTTATCCCTCCTCTGGCAGGTGAAAGATAAAATGACAAAGGAAACAAAGGTTTGATCTTCTGAGAATTTCAGTTTATTAAGCAACGCAAGGCAATTGCCCAACAAACTAGGACCAGACCTCCTCAGCTTAGACCTGGACCCCAAATATAGGATGAGACAGATTTTTATACATTTTTAAATTAATCAAACAAAATCAATAAATTAAAAGGAAACAATATAACATTAGGTAATCTGATTTCTAATTGGAGGAAAGATTAGGGACTTTCCAAGTTGAGAAGGAGAGAGTAAACAGATGCAGTTCCCTAAATGCAGAAAAGATGCCTCATTTTCCCCCAAGAGTCTATAAACAATCAAAGGAACATGGAAATAATAACTGATAGATCAGTACAGCCCCAGTTTTCAGATAAAACATATGGGTTGCTTCAGATGTACAGTTGTGAGAAAACTCCTTCCATTAGTCTTTGGATCTGACTGGATTTCTGGTCAGCATAACCTAGGTCCTTAGTTAAGAGACTCTAATAGCAGGTAGGGATGGTCCAGCTTCCCAGCCACACTAGGCTAGGTTCAAACAATGCAATAGGGTTTTCTTTCAATTTCCACAATTGAGTAAAGTTTTCTCACAGGACAGAAGTTGGACTAGACTCATAATTGAATAGAAAGGGAACTGAGAATTGAACTCCAGAACTGAGTCACAAGATGGTGTCAGTGTGGTTCACCCAATTCCCATAAGTAACCACTTGCTGTCCTAATTCCCTATGATCCCCTTACCACCACTACCACTAATTGATTAAGTGTGAGAAAAGTGTTGAGTGAAAATAGTAGCAATCGAGCTGATCAGTGAGAGCTGGTACAGGCAAATGCGTGCTCTCTGTCTCTTCTTGTCACTTTACTGTTTGTTTTGGGATCTTGGGACTTCCAACTTTGCACCACCCTAAGGAAGAGATAGCAAGGAAGCTGACCTTCGGGCACAGATTACTCACCACATTACCCTTTGATAATAATCTCTGTGCCTAAGACCTCAGGCACTTTGGCAGCCAGCCTCAGCACTTTTCCTGGGACATATGCAACAGGAGAGAACACCAATATGGAAGCAAAGAGAAAGCCCTCCAGTAACACCAGATCCCTACACCACCATTGCTTCAGTTCTACCATGGCCTTTTTATTTTTTACCTCCTCTTCACAACAACAGTATGATGTGGTTAGCTTCTGAATACATGTCACTTGTTTTTATATACCAAGATCCCCGGAATGGGAGGCAGGCTGGCACCTCTTCAGGGATACCAGCAGCAGCTGCTTCTCTCCTGCCCCCTCCCTTTCCTTATTATGATAACAGATTGATTCCACAGTGGATGAGGCTTACATTGATTTCATGTGACTTGTTTATATTTCTCCTGCCACTCACACCATATGAGAACATCTCTTGACAGTTATAAAAGTCTGTCTTTGGTGAGACCCAGTGAATATTCATAAAGCTCAAATTAAAAAAAAAAATTCCTGCCTTTTTAATTTACAATTTAATTCAATTCAGCAAACATATATTTAACATTTGCCATATATATGTAGTACTGTGATAGTCCCTCAGGGAGATAAAAGGATAAATAATACACAATCAGCTTGCCTAAATCCTCAATCTATATATCTAGCCTGGTATTTCCACTGAATTCCAGTTGTACATTTCTGACTTCTAGCTGGACATCTCTACTTAAATGTCCCACTGACATCTCAAATTCAACAGGTCCAAAACTGAAATTCATCATATTTTGCCCCAAAACATGTCTCTGATATTAAAATCTCTCTCTTCTCCTCCCATCCCCATCCCCACTCACCGTGTATTGCTACCACCTTTACTCTGGCTCTCCTTGCCTATTGTAATAGCCTCCTAACTTGGTTCTTTTAATCTAATTTCTCCTCTTTCCAATTCTTATAATGCTTCCTATAATTGAAATAATCCTCCTAATTCATAAGTTTAATCAAGTTAAAAAGCCTTTGGTTTCCTATTGTCCGTGAGATAAAATTCGAACTATGTAGACCAGCATTTCAAGTCCTCCCCAGTCTGGTTCCAACTTCTCTGTTTCAGTCTTATTTCATTCATGCAGTCTACATTCAAGCTCAACTGGAAATCAAACTCGCTGTAAGGAGCTCTGCTCAGGCCTGTTCTGTTTAATGTTTCTTTATCAATGATTGGATAAAGCTATAAATGGCCTGTTTGTCAAATTTTCAAGTGACACAAAGATGGAAGGAGCATACAACACACTGGATGATACACAGAATTCAAAAAGATCTTGGGTATATTGGATATTCAGTGTTTCATTCCCTTCATAGCCTCTCTGAACTTAGCTGGCTGGATTTCACATTGCAGATGCCTACTCAAAGTCTTTCTAAGTTGGTAAGAGCAGTCAGGCATTGCATTACAATTATATAGCCTTTGAGGACTATAATTTGGCATCAGAATTTGTCTTCAGTGAAAGTTACTGATGAAAAAGAAAGCAAATTTCCATTTCCCTGGATGCTTTAGGTATACTTAATGGCTTAATTGCTAGTGTCATCTCAAGTTCATACTATAGATTTATTTGTTTATTCTACAAATCTACCAAAATCTTTGTTTCTTTTTACAAAGACATTCATCTAGGCCTCAATTTCCTCATACATAAACTAAGTATAAACTAGATCATTCCTAAAGTCTTATCTAGCTTTAAGTCCTATTATCCTATGATCTAATCCTATGGTATGAATTGAGTGGAGAAAAGGAAACAAGTAGCCCAAATCAATCAATGCATTTCACACAATGGTCACTGGCTAGTTGATATTTCAAGGCCTCCTCAAGGCCTCTTTACTTTTCTTTTCTATGTATATTTTATTCTTTTTTGAGATTGGTGAAAGTTATAATTGTTTTCTTCTTTTTTTCCTCCAGATTTATGCAGTCCGATCAGTTGTCCCCAACAAAAGCAATAATGAAATAGTGCTGGTGCTACAACAATTTGATAATAACGTGGACAGAGCAGTTCAAGCCTTCATGGATGGTAAGCCTGAATTTTTCATTGAGCTAGAGAGATCAAAACCAGCCATTATCTTGTAAGTTCCTTAAGAAACACAATGCCTTATCTTCTCCAAGAGGTCATCACTGGGCCTTACAGATAGTGGGTGCTTGCCTTAAAATAAATATGTGTTGAATGAAGGAAAGTTGAATAATCAAAGTTTTTTACCCTCTTAATTTTTCTTCTAACAAATTATATCCAGATCAACTACTGCCTAAATTTGTCATAAGTTCCATTAGGTCCAGGGATCACTTAAAAAAAAAAAGTAAGAGAAGTGCTGAAAACTACTTTTCTCTCCTGGGAAAATCCTTTGGATGTTTTCTGTGAAAGGTAACAGTTATAATCCTACTAATCACAGGCAATTCACCTGTCATGGAAATCAGACTTGGCTGGCATTTTGACAATCAAGTCCATTCTCTACTAATGGTTATAGTGTCTTGTTGAGAATGACATTGATTTAATGGTTTCCTTTTTCAAGGGAGGGACATAGGCTTCATCCTAGACTATGAAGGCCATTCATCACATCGGGAGTTTAAAGCAAATACAACCGGTATAGCTGTATTTGTCCTTATGGCTAGAGTCCTTGCACTTAGGACTTAAGGGGCTCCATAAGCTTGTCTCTGATTTCTCCTATTCATGAAGTATGACCCTGTTATCCCCACTCAAGCAAAACTTCTCTTATTTATATCTACTTCTGTTCCACACTTTTTTCCCCAACAGTAACAAATCAAAAATAACAAGTTTTAACTTTGCTGCTATATGAATAGAAAATCCTTAGAAAGGTGGTAGCTTTTAAAATGCCAGTAGGAATAGCTAATTTTTTTTCATTGAAAAAAGCTTACATTTAATGTAAGCACTTAATGTGTTATCTCATTTATGCTTCACAACAACCCTGTGAGTAGGTCCTATTATTATCCCCATTTTACAGATGAGGAAAGTCAGGCCCAGAACGGTTAAGTGCCCATCATCATCCAACTGGAAAGTGTCTGAAGCAAGATTTGAACCCAGGTCTTTGAGACTCCAAGTCCAAATGGCTAACTACTATGCCACCTTGCATCTTCACAAACTGCTCTTAGGAATAAAGGATACAGAAGATATGTGTGCTTGTTCTGTTTCCTACCACTCCTGACATAGATTGACAGCACAAGACCAGGACTGGTCTCACACACAAGGTCCAACTGGCCAGGGGCAACTGAGAGTGTAGTGTTTCATACTTATATTTAGACAACAAAAAGTGGGCATGCTTCCAAGAGACCAGTTGGAAGCAAAAGTAGGAAAACTCCTGAGCTTGCATAGATGTAACCAGTTATGTGCAAGTCAGGTGGCAGGCACACTGAGATTGGCACAGTATCTATCTTTAGTGCTATTTGGTACTATTGTATGAATCCTACCAGTCAAATGACTGCTGTTACTGACTTGGGTCCCTTTCCACACCTCGGTGTGAAGTGGCAAAAAGGTCAAACTTGACCCCACAGCCCCTTCATCTCTAGCTCTGTCAACTTCTATCTCGCTTCACATCTCTGCACTCTTTACAAGGGAAATTGGTGCTTCAAATTAGGTCTATTAGAACACTTTCCATACCTTGGATTGATGTAGTTCCTCACCATTAGGGCTCCCATGCTCCCTACAGGAAATGTTTTGAATCCAAAGTGGTCCTTCTGAAAAGCATAGTAATTGATAGACTGTCACCAAATCAATTTGTATTTAAATAGTCTCCCATGAAAATTTGTCTCCCATGAAAATTTGACCTTGCCAATGTTGTTGCCTCATTAATAAAGTCCTCTGATTGCTAAGAAACCACTATTCACTGGTTGGTAGACCAATAGAAATCCTCTTAAAAACCACAAAGAACCAACGTCATTTGTTAGAAGTCCTTTAAGAGGCACTAGATTTGTAGAAGTTTAACAGGCCTCAGGCATCTTGAAATTCATGTACACAAGTTATTTATGGGTGGTCCAAATAGCTTTAAACATTCCAAGTAGAGTTCAAGTTGAATTATGAGTTTCAGAACATGCTACTTGGCACATAGTAAGCACTTAACAAATGCTATTTCTGCATTTTTCACTCATTCACAATATTAGTTCTTTTTCTTCTTTGTAATTCATCTCTGAAAAGTTATTGCCCAGATTACTGTTATTTGACCACAAAATCATAGAACAACCAAATTGGAAGAGACCTCGTAGACCATCTAGTCCAGTCAGTGCCTGAGCAAGAATCCCCTGTATAATGAGCCCAACAAATAGTCAACCAGACTTCACTCAAAGATTTTCAGTGACAAGGAGCTCATTTACTCCTTTCAGAATGTCCCTTGCACTTTAGAATGGTTCCGATTACTAGTAAAACTTTCCATTTACCCTAATTCTGCTGTCTGGAGCCAGGCAGGACACATCTAATCCTTCCTAGAGAGATCAGTATGGAACAGAGGTAGACATAAATAAAGAAGTTTTGCTTGAGGGGGAATAACAGGGTCATACTTCATGAACAGGGAAAATCAGAGACAAGCTTATGGAGCCCCTTAAACCCTAAGTGTAAGGACTCTAGTCATAAGGACAAATACAGCTATACCAGTTGCATTTGCTTTAAACTCCCAATGTGATGAATGGCCTTCATAGTCCAGGATGAAGCCTATCTCCCTCCCATGAAAATATCTACAGATATTTGAAGACTATGATCATGCCCACCCTCAACATTCTCTTTTTCAATTTAAATATACACAGGTCCTTCATGTACTTCTCAGAAAGCTATCCAAATCTGAATGTTTTGGGGGAAGTTTGATGTTGTACAACTAAGCCGGAAATGGGCACTTCTTCTTGCAGATGGAAAACACAAAATTAGGGGGAATTTGCTTGAATTATTTCAAGAGAACTACACATTGGCTCTAAATAAGAACTTCCAGGAGAACTGTAAAACACTTGGAGGGGTTTACTGAAAGAGAGTTATAATTCCTTCTTAGAGGTCAAATGATTAACTAGGATTAACCAGGACAACTTTGATAATTTTGGGAAGTTTTAAGAAAGAGTAGCCTAAATTCATGTAAAGTCTGAATTCCTGAATATTTTTTAGCTACAATTTCATTATGTCAAGTGCTTACAGTAACTTGATTGAGGCTTGTATGTTGACTAATGGAGTCCCCACCTTAATGAATAGAATGATTGTATAATTAATAGGTCAACTCACCAGTCAAAGCAGTATTGGCAATGATATTATAGTGCAAAGAGAGTGACATCTGAGCAATTAGGATTCAACTCATTTCCCTTAAACACAGCAAAGACTAGTCTGAAATTTTTGTTGGTTTATGAATTTCCTTCTTCATAGGAATTCTAGAATTTTAGAAGTAGAGGCAATGGTTAAAAAAAAATTCATTGAGTCTGACTCCCTCACTTTATAGATAAGGAAACTAGCCCAGAAAATTTAAAGGACTCATCCAAGGTTACAGTTAGTTGTTGGCAGAACTCAAGGGTAGTGCTTTTTCTGCCAGCCTACTATTGCAATTTTTAACTGTGAAAAGATTATATTGGGAATGTATAGATTATATTGGGAATCTGGGTGCTAGACCTTAAGTTCAAATCTAGCCTCCAGATATTTACTAGCAGTGTGATGCTTGGCAAGTAATTTAACCTCTCTTGGCCTCAGTTTTCTTTATTGTAAAATGGGAAGAATAATAGCAACTACCTCCTAAGTTTGTTGTAAGAATAAAATGACACAATATTTTGCAAAGCTCTTTGCAAACCCTAAAGTGCTATATAAATGCTGGGTTTTATTATTCCTACCACTGCTAATATTGTTATTGTTGTTATTGAAAGCAGGCAGTATAACAACATTTTTAAGCAGCCTAGAAATTTTTAGGAGTACTAACTTACGCAAAGGGCAGCTAGGTGGCACAATGGAGAGAGGGCCACAGTTGGAATCAGGAAGATTGATATTCTTGAGTTCAAATCTGGCCCCAGACACTCACTGTCTGGGTGACCCTAGACAAGTCACTTAACTGTGTTTGCCTCAGTTTCCATGTCTGTAAAACGAGCTGGAGAAGAAAATGGCAAACCACTGTAGTATCTTTGTGAGAAAACCCTTAATGGGGTCACAAAGGTTTGGACATGACTGAAAAAACTGAACAACAAGAATAATTTACATGAAACAATTTTCTATTAGCAATTACTAACCACTTATTCAATTTATGGCTACCTACCCTAATGAGAAAAGTCCTTAACAATCAAATATCAACAATGATTATCTTATGCTCACCCTTTCCATTTCTAGCCAAACAATCAGAACACTGACAATTCCATTCTCCTGAGAATCATGACCCTATGGGGCCCAATCTTTAAGTTCATCATTCAATTCATCATCAGACCACTCAGGTCTCTTTAGAAGATAACTAGCTTCAAGATCAATTACATATTAGTCTAGTCATTACAATAGCCTCTTTATGCCAATGAACAAATTAATTTTATCAGACTTGTTCAGGTGATTTATTGTACCTGAAAGTATTTTGATGTATTTTAAAAACATTCTATAATCTAAGCTTTTCATTCATTCAAGTTAGTCTTTCCCCAATTAGTATAAATTGAAGGAAATTTATTGTATATTGTGTGTATGGAAATGGAATGTGATAGCATCTGAAACTATAGCTTTGGTTATAATGAACGTCCCGTGCTTTAAAGTGACAGTCTCATAAACAATTATATCACTGTATTATAAAATCAAGATTAGATCATCTGTTCTATCCACCTTAGAAGCCACAGGTCTCAAATAGAAATATAAAAAGAGCCAAGTATGATTAAATTGCATGATATGGCCTCTGTAGTTATCAAAATTTGGAATGATCTGGTTTGCTTTGTTTTGTTTTGTTCTTTCACTGAGAAGGTTATAGATATACTTCTCCATTCATCAAGTGTGACAAGTTTATTAATATTACCTCTGACCATGTATTTATCAAGAAATATGTCATTGTCTCTGACATAATATAGTGAAGAAAAATAGATAATATAGTGATGGGAAAATAGTAGGAATTAATATTTCGGTAAGGCAAAAATCCTATGATAAGTGATATGAAGATGGGATTCTGGGAACTACAAAAAATATATATGTTGGGTTTGTTTAAAAAAAAAGATTTCAGTTGTTAAGGCGGAATACTTTAACAAATAAACCAGTTAAAAATTTTTCCTAAGAAAACAAACTGAAGATATTTTTTGGTTGCTGTTTTATTCTCCCAGTATGTTGACTGATCTTTTTCTTTGTCTAGGCAGTGCAATTCAGGTACTGAAAGAGTGGAATATGACTGGGAAGAAGAAGGTAACGTACTCGATTCCACTCAAAACAGTTGAATCCCCATCCAGACTCCTTTGTTTTCTGATATAGCATCTTGTTTTGTGCTGATTTTATTCATGACCATATCTGCGTTCACAAAGCTTATAGAAAAGCAAGCATTTCACACTATTAGCCTCTTCTGCTATTCTGTGTACTGGCAATCCTATGTTCAGGGAGACATCTTCTATCCTCAGGTATGCTTACATCTTTTTACTCAAAAAAAAATGTAACGATAAGTTAGTTCCAGAAATTTAAAGGATTCCAGGCCAAATGTATCTGAAATTACCCTAGAGCATGGAGGACAGGAAGTATCAAATAGCAACTCAGGTAGACCAGAAATCTCTAAAGAAACTTTCACATGTTTCCTCAAATAAAAGAAACTGCACTAGGTCTGGGTTGCCTTATGAGACTTTTTCTGGTAACGTATGCATGTATGTAGGGGTACAACATGTGTAAGTGTATGGGTATATATGTGTGTATGTATGTCTATATGTATATACATATATATACACACATGCATGTGTGTATATGACGCATGTATACATACACCTATGCATACACACATGCTTGCATATATTATATAATATGTATAATATGTGTGCGTGTGTGTATGTGTAGGAATGTTATATATCAATATATTGTGTGTGTACATGCATAGATGTCCTGTGCACATATGTGCACATGTATGTGTGTTATATGTACTGTGTGGTGCTATATGCGTGTACATTATCTGTACATGTATATACATGTTTATGCATTATGCACGTACTGTGTCCATTATGTGTATGTATATGATGTACTTATAGAACCATGCATCTATTCATATACACATGTAATGTATTATGTAATGTGTAAAATATATGTACTTGCACCTATTGCATGAATGTTTGTATATGAGTGTATGGTGCATGTGAGCACCTATGTGTGTGCACATGAGTGTGTGCATACATATGTGCATTTGGTGTGCATGCATACTGTGTACATTATGCATTTGTATATATGTACAACCTATATACTCACATGCATATACATTATATACGGTATGTGCACAGGCATACACATATGTGTGCACTGTGTGCGAATATACGTGTTTATGTGCATATACTACTATGTGGGTTTTCATGTGTACATGTATGCACATGCATATTGTGTGTGTGTATATGCATACATGTACCTGTGTACATTATGTATATGTGTATATGTATGGATGTGCTTATACATGTATGCATGTCTGTGCATATGTGTGTCTGCGCATATACATATTTCATATAATAACAATACCTTAATAGTTTAGAGATGTCCTGCAAGATCCCTTTTAGCTCTAAATATATGATCCCATGGCACTATAAACTCTCCGAGCACAAGGAAAGGATGCTTCTTCTAACCTTATCATACTCTCATTATGACTTTCTAAAGAGGAGGGGAAATGAGGTCACCTACTTATATATTTAAGTTGCTGATGTTCACTCCTCATGCTTGTACCCTATTTCTCTAATATGCCCGCATATGCATACTCTGAATACCTCTAGATTATACTCTATTATAAAGACACAATTACCCTTTAATCTTTGACCTGTTTCAAGGCTGTAGGCCTATGTGCAAAGAACTTATTTCCCATTCTCTCCACATCCAGGGAAATGTATATTATCACAGAGTTCATAGGATCAAAGTTTTAGAGGCGGAAGGGAACTTAGAAGCCTTCTGGTCCAATCTTCTCCTTTTACAGATAAGTAAAGTGAAGCCTAGAGAGGTTAAATGACTTTCCTGAGAAATGCATCAGAGACTTTGTCAAGTTCATTGCTGAAATCTAAATAAACTCTATCTTCAGCACTATAACCATTTGCCAATGTGGTACCACTACCATAAAAAGAATCAAAATGACAGGATCACAGATGGGGACTTGAAAAGGACTTCAGAGGTCATTGATTACAGACCTTAAAGTGCTATGTAAATGCTAGCTATTATTATTATTAAAGAAACTGATGTTCAGGGAAATCATCGACTGAGTTAAATTTTTAAAAGACATGTACAGAAGATGAAAGCAAGGACAGGTAACAAAGTGTAAATACAAAAGCCTTGCATGGTCCTTTAAGAATAGTGCCAGGAATGCTAATGTTCGGAATGAGCTGAGGCTCGCAAGGAAAATTTAGGACAACGGAAAGGGGTTTTGTGCATCTATATTGGGGGGAGGGGAGAAGAGATGAAAGGCTTGGGTTAGTCTGGTATGACCTGTTCTTGATAAAGTCATGATGGTTCTTTAGAATCATTGTTTCTTTTTGAACATATTCATTGACCATCCCTTTAATAATACTTTCTGGAATTTTTCCAGGAATCCAATACAGGCTACCTAGACTATAATTTGAACAGCAAGATAACATTTGCCCCTTTCCTGGTGCCACAGTATTTCTCTCGTTCTCCACAGCCTTTCTGATATCACTGACAATGACTCAGCAATCACAGTTGCCAATGCTTTCATTACTGAAGGATGTAGTTCATCTGGGCCTGCAGACTTGAACTTATCAAAGGCAACTAAGTGCTCTCGTACTATCTCCTTACTTATCTCGGATATCAACTTTTTATTAACTATTTTTGTGCAGTTCTTTCCAGGCCAAAGATCATTCTCCTTGAGAGAGAAAACAAAATTAGAATCAAGCAGCAAACCTCTTCTTAAATGTCGGTTTTTATCCTTTCATCCACCCCAAGCAGTGAGCTGATATGGCCATTGATTTTTCTCTTTTACCCACAAAAACCCTTTCTGTTGTCCTAAATTTTCCTTGCCAGCCTCAGCTCATTCCGAACATTAGCACTCCTGACACTATTATTGAAGGACCATGCAAGGCTTTTATATTTACACTTTGTTACCTGTCCTTGTCTATGTCTCCTGTACATGTCTTTTAAAAATTTAACTCAGTCGATGATTTCCTTGACCATTAGTCTCCTTAATAATAATAATAATAACTAACATTTATATAGCACTTTAAGGTTTATTAAACCCTGGACATATGTTATTTCATTTGATCCTGGGAGATAAATGCTGTTATTATCCTCATTTTACATTTGAGGAAACTGAGGTTGATAGAAGTTAAGTGAATTTTCCATAGTCACAAAGCTACTGTCTAAGGTACTTATTTAAAGTCGGGTCTTCCTGACTCCAGGTCCACCACTCTTACCCACTACTCTACCTGCCTACTTTTAAACAATCTCTTTAAACTCTCCCTTTTCCTCTTCATCAGAACTGTTTCTCTTCTCTTCTCTGAGACTGACTGCCCCATGTCATTTTAATCCATGCTTATCCTACTTATCATTTCTCTGAAATCTCTCCTGAAATCTAGGATATGTTTCATATTAGGGTATGCTGGGAAATAACTGGTGAAAAATAACAGGCGTCCATCACATTTTTTCATAAAAGAATACCAGAGCCATTTAGTCTGGTTTCCCTTTCCTTCTTTATCATAGGTGTGTCATGGATCCTATCATTTCTACTCTCTGTGTTGGTAAGAACAAGATCAAGAATCAAACCTTCTCCCTTCAGTGGTTCTTTTAGCTTTTAAAAGATGAAATTACAATTAAGACAAGTTGAGACATTACTGATTTTTCACTTTTGTCCGAGAGCTTCATCAGATGTCTAGATAATTGAAGTTCCCCATCATTCCCATATCATGGTTTCATATCATACTTGCTATCTGTTTTCCAACGTTTTTATTTCCAGGTGGTCTCTCTCTCCACTTATTTGGTGATTTGTCTAGTTCCCATGAATTCAGTTATTATTTCTATATAAGTGAATCCCAAAACCATATTTCCTACCCTCTACTAAATTCCTGCCCCACATTTCCAACTACCTAGTAAATAGTCCATCTAACATTCCACCTGCCATCACTTCTAAGTGAACATGTTCAGAAGCTGAATTCATCATCTTCCCCTCTAAATCCATCTCTTCTCCTTCAAAGTTTTCCATTTCCATTGAGGACAGCAAAGTCCTTCCAATCTTCTAGGTTCACAGTCTTGGAATTTACTTGATTCTTTCATTTCCCTCACCCTTATAATTAATCAATTGCTCATTCTTGTCAATTCGACTTCCAAAGCATTCCTGGCAGCCTTTCCCCAGTCTCTCCATTCACATCACATGTCCTAGATCAGACCCTATAGATCATCTTTTGCCTGTACTACCATAATTGCTTTCAGCCTCTCATATCTCCAAGCCATGCTTTGAACACCTGAGATGATCCTCTTAATGCACAGGTATGACTTTGTCATTGACCAGATCAGTAACTATCAATTCAAACTCAGACATGCATTGAAAGCCCTCTGCAATCTGTTTCCAATATAACTTTTCCAGCCCTATTTTATTCTATAATGGGCCATTCCCCCATGCCCACAATGCACTCTTCTCACCTCTGTCTTTTGTATACCTTATTTTTCCTTCAAGGTACCACTCCTAGCTGTTCTGCCTAGCCTTCCTTGATCTCCTCTCTTTCCCTCCTTAAATGTCTTAGGGCACTTTGCTTGATCTTTCCTTTGCCCCTCCCTCCCCACTCCTTACCTTATATTACACTTAGCTTTCATGCATATCATACTGCTCCTCCACAATCACCCTGTCCCTAGTGGAATATAAGTTCCTTGAGGGCAGGAACCATTGATTTTTTTTCTTTTAATCCTCAGTGCCTGTCCTGGCACCTTACATGTAGTAGGTACTTATAGCATGGTGTTGTTGTTTTTTTTAATTGAATTGCATGTGTTGCATTTGGAAGTATGACATTTTGGTCATTCTGGGCATTTCAAGAGCATCGTTTATATTACATTGAATTATATGCTACAAATCTCTCCATTGATTTCTCAGATACTTTATGCATTTCCTGCCATTCAACTTTTCATATAGGATGGAGGCTTTTTGGCCTAATATTTTTTGTAGTAAAATTGTATGCAGCTTATTACTCAAAAATTTTGGTAGGCAGTATATTAGCTACAGCAGGTAATTGTTAAATAAAGCAGCTTTGCCTCCCCCAGGTTCTGTTAGAACAGCTGGAAAATGAATGTGAAAGCACATTTCATTCAGATATTTAATTGTTCTCTTTTATTTCGAGGGTTCACATGGAGTAATTTTTCTTTCCTCGTTATTGTTTGTTCCAGAACAATAAAAGAAAACGAAGCAAGTCTAAGCAGCACCAAGGCAATAAAGATGCTAAGGATAAGGTGGACAAGGCAGAAACAGCCTCCCTGGGGCCCCCAGAAACGTACAACTGCCACGTGAATGGCTGTGACAAGGATAACTCCTCCACTGAGTCTGCCCATGAAAAAACAGAAAGGCCCCCTCGAGAGAAGAAATCCTTAGCCACTGAGGAGCCGCTTCAGGCACCAGCAGAAGCTGCAGGTCAGTGTGTAGATTCTGGGTAAAGAATGGGCTTTCCATTACAATGGGGGGCACAGAAGAAGCAAAAGCAAGGAGGCTGTGGTTTTTGTGTTGCTATTAGTACAGTGATTACAAATGAAAGGATTGGCCATCTGTCTGATAGTGATTTAGCTGAAGACGGAATAACCACAATATCAGGGAAACTTTCTCTTGACATACTGAGAGAAAGAATGAATACCCAACCTGTCGCAGAAATCCTAAAGGGAGTCAGGAAAGTGCTAGTGGCCATTTATAAAGAAATAGAACATGCCAGCTGTTGACTTTAACAGCAGCGGGCATTGCAGCGTAGCTATGCTGAAGTGACCAGGACGCCTCAGGGCGAGCTGCCATCTTAACTCCTTGCTCAACAAAAGTTTTTAACTCAGAAAAAAAATCTTGGAGGAGTTTAGAAATGGATTTCTGAGTCCATCATGGAAATTGATAAGGAAATAGGATTGTTGCTTTATAGAAATTATCTTTATGGTTAATTTTGCTAAAACATGCCAGTCTGTAAAATGAAGTATACCTATTTGCAAGGAAATATTCCTTTGAATATAATATGACATATTAGACATTTTATGTCTCTAAAAAGGCTGTGCATAGTTTTTGTTTTGGGGTTTGGTTTTTTTTACTTATAGACATAGTTTGTTTTCCGACAAAGCATAATCTTTATCATAGACATAATCACTCAGATTAATGAATTTCTAAATGTATAAATAATATAGTCATCATTTCAACAAATAACCACTTCTATCAACTTGCTGTGTGACTTTGGCAAATCATCTGTAAAATATGGGGGTTGGACTTGGATGACAGGATCATAGATTTATAACCAGAAAGGACCTACATGCCATTACACAGATGAGAAAATTGAGGCTGAGAGTGGTCAAGTAACTTGTCCGAGATCTTACAGGGTAGCACTTGGAAAGGCTAGGATTCAGTCCCAGGTTCTCTGACTCTAGTGCTCTTTTAAATACATCAGTGATCTCTTGTCACAGTAGAAGAAATGCTGGACATATCAACAGACCTGGACTTGACTCCCACCTTAGACACTTATTAGCTCATTAGATTACTTGATAACCACCAGCAAATCACTTAAACTCTGAGAAACGCATTTTCCTCATCTATAGAATGGGTATAAATAATACTTGAATTGCTTAATGCCTAAAGCCGTTTCTGAGAACAATGCTTTGCCAACTTTAAAATGATATATAAAATAAGTTATTATTATTATTATTATCATAATTTCATTCTCATTTTTTTATGTAGTTCATAGAAATGACCCTGGGACAAGATTCCATTCCTTTAGGAGGCCTCTAAGGTGGATCAGTGGATAGAGCACAGAGCTGGGAGTCAGGAAGACTTGAATTCAAAACCAGCCTCAGATATTTATTACCTGTATGACCCTGGGCATGTCACCTAACCTCTGTGTGCCTCAATTTCCTCAACTGTAAAATGGAGATTAAAAATACCTCTCAGAGTCATTGGAAGGATCACAGTGTCTAGCACATAATAGGTGCTAAATAAATGCTTGCTTCCTCTCTTCCTCATTACTCTCTCATACTTAATATTATATGGACTTAAAACAGGTGGACAAAGTAACTGGTGTTTTTTTGTTGGTGAATAGAAGTCTTAGGGAATATGCTTACCTTCTATGAGATCAACAAAAGTTTCCTTTGTATAATCCAATAGCAGACAGAACAACAGGAATGCGATCTCTATGTTTTATAAATGTTTCATTCTATAAAGCTATATTCTGCCAGGACTGTGAATATTTGGCATGGCAACATCTATTTAAAATGTTGTCTTCAGATTTTTCTGGGTAAGTGTTATGTCTGGGCAAGTGTAGGCAACATAATATGTTACCATTTATGTGTACAATTTGTTATTAATATCAACATTTTTATCATTTTTGTCCTTTGGATGTTTAGATAGACATCATTGTTGAGGTCCCTTCTAATTCAAAAATTCTATCATTTTGTTGTCATTCAAAAAAATGAGGAATTCCATAGAAAGGCATGAGTGACAGATGTTTTGAAGGCAATCTATCATGTGGAAAAGCATTGGATGGGTGATGTAGGCAAGGTGACAGAAAATAGAACTGCCCAACTAATAGATTAGATCCCGTGGGTCATTTAACGGCCAATTAGAAGACTTCAAACTCGATGGAACAAGCCAAGGATATGCCAATTTTGACAAAAATGGAAACACTGAGCCTAAGATCATTGATTCCAGTGTTCAGAGGATCTATGTTGATATTGCAGTGACAAATTTGGATATAGACCCTAGTAAAAAGAACACTGTTCCTTGGAGTAATGAAAAGCCTTGTAGTCTCAGCTCTTCTTATTCACAAGTCTTTGAGCTAGTCATTTATCTTCTCTGGATCTCAGTTTCTTCATTAAGTAAAATTAACAAGTTGGACTAGATAATCATTAAGGGCTCTTGGAACTCTGGCCTTCATTGGGTTTGATTTTACTATGTACAAGGTGTTACTGCAGGGGATACAAAGACGTATAAGACACCATAAGGACTTAATTTAATTGTATAGACAACGCTCATACCAGCATGCACACACACACACACACACACACACACACACACACACACACACACGCAAGCACCAAAAAAAAAAAAAATAGCAAGTACTAAAAAGGTTTATGGAAAGGAGAGATCACATCAAGCTGGGATGACAAGGAAACCCTCAGGAAGAAGGTAAGATTACGCTTTGGTCTTGAAAAACAGGAAGGATTTTGAAGGTAGAGGAATAAGAGATCATTTGAAATAACAAAAACAAAAGCAGAGAAGCAGAAAATCGTAAGATGTGTCTAGTGATTAATGAATTCATGTTAAATAGCTAAAACTTATCAATATTGCCCCATAGCATTTCTGGAACTGGGCTCAGAACACTAATTTTCTTACATAAAATAAAATCGTAACTCAGAATTAAGAACTGTATAGATAACCTCTATCATAAAATGATTTCCCCATAAAAGAAATCACCACTTGTCCAGTATCAATCTGGAATCTGTTTTTCCTTTAGTGTTTTATTATGCTATAAGTTTCACACTGACTTGATTTATTAAGCTTGAGAAGAAGGAAATTAAATAATTAAGGAGTGGCAGAATCCCAACTTGCCTTGATATTATTTTCATTTGAATCACTTTCAAAATCTAATTGCTCAAGTTATCATTTTGACATCAATCACAAACCAAAGGCTCATCAAGTATAACACATTAGAGGAAATGCAGTCCAGGTGTACCTGATTGTTCTCTGTGGAAGTCCTCTTGGCAAGGTGAATAGAAGGCTGGTCTTTGAGCGAGGAAGACCTGGGGCGGGTCCTGACTCCAAACCGTACTATTTGACCCTGGGCCAGTCATTTACCCCCTCAGTCTTCCAGGAAACACTCTAAAACCATAAGTTACCTAAGTATTACTGCATGATCAAGAAAACAACTGAGCATTAATTGGCATCTTCTATATACCAGGTATTTTGCCAGGTGCTAGAAATACAAAAGGGAAAAGCGCTCAGGCAGCTTATATTCCTGGAGGAAAAACAACATGCACACATGTAAATGAAACATGACACAAGTCTCCACGAATGGCTGGTTACAAAAAAGTATAGAAGACATAGGCAGAACACATGCAAGGTGATTTGAGGGGAGACCCTAGTGCAGAGTATGCATCGTGGAGCCTATGGACCCCTTCTCAGAAGAATGTTTTTAATTTTATAAAATAAAATATATTGGATTCAAAGGAAACATATTGAAAATAGCTACCAGAATATTCAAAAAACAAATTTGTGATGTAGTAAAATATCTAGTGGTGGATCTATTAACTAGAGTGAATTTGAATAATGAGCATAAAGGATATTTTAAAATATCTGTAGCAACTCTAACATGATATGAAAAATCACTGTAATTCCTATTAGTGACAAAGTCACATGTACTACTAATAATATAGTAATTTGTTGTCCACATTCACAATTAAAAGAAAAGATAAATTTCAGTGAGAGATTACAAAATAACCTCTGAAAACAGAGATTTAATTTTCTTTAAATTCCAGTTCACTGATCCCCTTAAATCTAATCAGGGACTCCTTGGGCAACTAATATAGTACCTGGCACATTTTTGTTGTTCAGTCATTCAGTCGTGTCCAACTCTTCATGACCGCATGGACTATAGCATGGCAGGCCCTTCTATCCTGCACTGTCTCTCAAAGTCTTTCCAAGTTCATGTTTATTGTTCCCATGATACTGTCTATCCCTCTCATCCTCTGCCATCTCCTTTCCCTTTTGCCTTCAATCTTTCCCAGTGTCATGGTCTTTTCCAGTAAGTCCCATCTTCTCATTATGTGGCCAAAGTATTTAAGCTTCAGCTTTGGCCTTCCAGTGAATAGCCTGAATAAATGCTAGTTAACTGACTGTGGATCCAGGTTAAAAACCCCTGCACTAGATCAATGGAAAGAAGCTTCCATATCGCGAGTTCCCTTCCACTGATGAAATCACTCAAATGATTCCTCCCAAATAAGTTACATGGAAATCAAATGTGTTCCAGAAATTCAAATATGTTCCCAGAAAGGTACTAGGGGAATTCTCAATTTAAAGAAACCCTTCTATAATCCCACAAACATTGATTAATCACCCTCCTACTATACGCAGATCACTCTATAAATCAGTTCCTGTGGTTTATCTGTTTTGGTAGGTCCTGTATTCTTAGAGTAAATTTTTTCTTTCAATAAGATCTTTTACTCCTGCTACTTCTCTTTGCCACTGGTTCAGTCAGAATATCTAGCATTTACAGAGACCTTCATAACAAGACATGAACATGTAATGAAAGAATCTACATGGGTTTCTGTAGAGGAGAAAAAATGTCTACTTTATTCACTTTAGCATCAGTGTTATGCTTATTATAACTCTAAAGAAGAAGATTTGGTCCTAGCTAATGAAAGGTGAAAAGATGTTATCCTCTCCCCATCAGCTCAAGA